TGTCTCCACTTTTTGTACTAGTTTGGGCCACTAAAAAAATTACTTTAGTAAATAGTCTTATCCCTGCCAAAATGTCATGTCATCTTTCCATTGTGACACTTGCAATATGCTCTTCATGATTTGACAACAATGTTAGTGGCTTCTTGTTCTGATCAGTGCATCAACAATGTTAGTGGCTGGTAGGTTTTCGTGACTTAGTGCATCAACTATCCTGTTCTGGTTTTTGAATTTGTGTTTGAGTGCAAAATTGAATGAAAAAATAAACTCCAATCAGGCGACATGTCTATCCTTTAGTTTTCTCTGACTTTTCAGGAATTTCAATGCTTCTTGATCTCAGTGTAAAGAGTAAACTCACTTGACAACAAATAATACCTCCAGTGATTGTGGGTTTTCATAATGATGTTATACTCCTTGTCATAGGCATAGTACTTTCTCCTAGACTCATGCAACTTCTCACTCAAGAAAGCAATAAGGTGCCCGTCTTAACTTAGCAGAACTTCATTTTCTACATTAGAGTCATCATACTTTCCCTATAACACCTATTAAATCTAGAATATCTAGGATAGGGGCTTAATTAATCTTTAAAGCTAGATTACGCTTCATTTGACTAAGTGAATCAGTCGGATTTGAGGAGCTTCATCAAGGGTGCCACATTGAGCTGAATTTTTTTTTAAATTTCATATAAAAAGAAATCAATCAATGAAATTGGCGTACATAAGTGAATGAATGTAGATGAGGACGGTTAACGATGGCCTCAATTTTGGCTAAATGCATCTCAATGCCATTTGTAGATACAACATATCCAAAAAAGCAACTTTGTGTAGACTTGAAGTGGCGCTTCTTCGGGTGGCCGTGCAACTCAACTCTTTGAAGCAATTAAACTACACTCATAAGTGTTACAAGTGTTCCTATGCAGTACACCTATATGTTGATATATCATCATAGTATATAACAACAAATTTTCTATGAATGCTTAGAAAACATTATTCATTAGCTGCATGAAAGTGCTCGCAGTGTTGGATAAGCTAATGAGCATGATTGTTTACTTGTAAAATCTGTCCCGAGCCTTGAAATATATCTTCTACTTATGTGTTGGTCTTATCCTGAACTAGTGATAACTACCGCGTAAATGAATCGTGGAGAAAATATTGACTTCATGCAACTAATCCAAAATCCAATCGTGAAATGAGGAACCATTATGTGATGGTGATTTTATTCATAGCCTTGCTATTAATACACATGCGTCAAGAGCTACTCTTCTTTAGCACAATTAAAGCTAGAACAACATATCAATTAGTACTCTTACAGACCAAGCCTTTAGCCGTCTATGTTTGTAACTTGCTTCTACAACTTTTTGTACTCAGTTGAGCGCATCGGGTAAGGAGGTCGGTTCAGGATAATAGATTCGTGTAATGAATTTGATAGCATGGTGGATCTGTATCAGTGAGGGTATCCTAAAACTCTCTTAGTAGGGGCTGCACTATATTTGATATAAACTCCTCAAACACTTCGTTTGAGGGCCACTAATGTTAGTTCTACTGGTGCTTCTCTTAGGACACGTAGAAAGGTAGCATGTGACATTGTAGTCTTAGACCGTGTAAATGCCCATTTCCTTTAACTCCTTTCTAAGCAAATGGGCGATAAGTTTTCCATCCTTGATGAATGAATGTGTTCTTGTGAACAGTAAACATGTGCGATGATTGTATTGATAAGGACAACCTATTCGCATCCATAGGTACCACATAACATTATAGGGTGTTGTTGGAACTTGTCACTAATATAGAAGGAACTTGTCACTAATATAGAACTCCACGAGGCTTCTCATATCAACTGTGAACTCATTCGTTGTCTTCAAACAAGATAAGAAATAATATTGGGCATGCTTCTATGTGGCAAGGCTTAACTTGTCCACGATTTAGTAGACAACACATTCTCACAACTATTTTTGTCAATTATAAGTCTGCACTCATTTTCTTTCATTGTATAATGGGTACGAAAAATGTTGTAACGGAATAATTGTTCTCTTTGGGTTTTAGTTTAAATGATCAGTTGAAACACTAATATATCTCATTCATTGGCTGGAAGCAAATACTCATTCACATCCTCATTTTCTTTCTTGTATTTAGTTTCACTGTCTATTTTCTTCTTAGCTTCTTGTTCAGTGAAGATATCACTATCCTATTTGGGCAATTAGATGTTATATGTCCTAAGAAATGGCATTTGAAGAACGTTTTGCCTGGGAAAAACTTTGGGGTTCTCTACTCTGGCTGGTTTTCTTGTGTGGGGTTGGCTTATGTGCTCTAGTGAGTGTACTCTTGTTGAATAATCTTCATGTCGATCTCTTTCTGTAAGGTGTGGTGGTCCCTTAATGATGATATTTCTTTACCTTCAAACTTAGACCCTATACATCGGGTAAAGATCAACAAGGCTGCAAGTGTACCACATTGCTAATATATGACTTCAACCCTCTGAGATACATTGCCACTATGTGCTTCTCTGGTTTCACCAACCCCATTTCAGCATGACTTGATTAAATTTTATCGCATACCCATAGATGAATCTTTTTGATATAGTTTGTGAAATCTTAAGAACATATTCAATCGATAATGATGGGATCGTTACATTTCCTTTTTCATCGTAGGCCACCTGATGATTTTACAATTTCTAGCTGTTAAATGTGTTTCAAATTCTCTCACTACAAGTGTTATTCATTAGTTTGATGTAGTATTTTTAAAAATGTGCGTCAAAGCTTGTCACGTGACGGTATGCAAAGCAGTTATGGTCTGCTTTGCATTGTAGTCGCACGGTGAGTGAGCAAGAATCATGCATTGACACACTGAAGCATTGTGAAATAGCTTGGATTTGGTGTCGTGTGGAGTGAGTTCATGCCAAACAAATGGGTTTGATTTGATTTGTGGTTTAGCGAAAGCAAATAAATAGTAATCAGGGTTTCATTCAAACGCTTTGACCATGATAAGAAGCAGGGACAGTGGTGTTCAAATGTGAAGGAAAGACGACTCATCTAAGAGACCACGAGGAAGTGTAAGAGACAATGGCATTTGATCGCGAAGGACAGCTGATGTTCGAGCATACACTTAGACCGCGTGGAAGAACAATGACCACAACATTTGAAAGTTAAGGAGAGATGACGGGTTCAGGTTGGACTTCTTTCTTGAAAGTGACAATCTATAAATGTTGCTTTTTCTTCCTCCACCAAACATAATCTAGGCTTTTATTTTAAAATGTTGAACATTTCTTATTTGAGTATATGACACTTTTAAAGCTTGTATTGTGTGGGTGGGTGTTTATTTTGCATGGAATTTGTCTTCTATTCAAAATTATGTCCACTTGCTCTTGTTTAATCATGAACATTATTTAGGTTCAAGTTTATTGGCAGGATATTAAGGTTTAGTTTTTTAATAATTTGAAATCAAGGAATTTAAGGTAAGTTTATTGGCAGGATATTAAGGTTTAGTTTTTTAATAGTTAAGGTAAGGGTTGAACATTATTTTTTATTTTATATCAAATTTTAAGCTATGCAATAAATACTCTATATATTATAATTATTTGTGAATGCATTTATACATTAATAATTTTATATAACCTATTAGTGCTGTGGTTAATAAAGCGATGTTTCGCTCTGTGTTATGTGCTTTGAAACAAAAATAACATCTGCTGCATCACGTTGCACTTTTGATTGTTTGATGACTGCTAATTTGACTCTATTGTCTTGGGAAACATTCTTGCACTAAAAAAAATTGCACTATTTGGAGCCACTCAGTGAACTCATTGTGATCCAAGACATTTTTCAAAATCTAGGAAGCCATTTTTCACCCCAAAACCATTCCCTCTCTGCTGATATTCAATGCCAAATCGTTGGGGCTTTAGTTATTCATTACATGAAACTTTTCTGTGGAAGGGTTAACTTCTCAATTCAGAAGCCAGCTATAAGTGACGTATATGAGTTGTCTTTTGTCAAATTCAAGAAGTCTTTGTTGTTGTTAGAGAATCTTCTTTTGCATATCCTTCGTTCTCTTCGACACTCATTTGCATGTCTCTTCTGGTCATCGTAGTGTCTCTTTCCCCAATTTGAGTTTTGGTCTACTTTGACGAGGAGTAGGAGAATTAGGTTAGTGTGCGTGGTTTTGGTTGACTAGAAGAATTACATTATGTAGATTTTAGGTCTTGGAGGGAAAACAAATCTCTAAATATTTAGTGTTTGGATGGCTCCGATATCAAATGATATGATCTAGGGTTTCTTGATCGTGTGAGGTCAAAGGATGTGTTAGGAGAGTTGTAGATAAGAGATGAATGGGGAAATGATAATATGGGCTTGAAATCCACAACGAGAGGCTGGACAGCAGTTTGGAAGCATAAAACAACAACTGACAAAAGGGATTGGTGGTGGTGTAGGAGGCCTTAAAATGTTCGGAAAAAATCACCACCTAGATCCAATCAGCTTACAGACACACCACTTGAGAAAGATCAAACGATACATCACTCTGGCAGGAAAAACATGGATAAACAATCTCTAATGCATAAATCCAAAACCAAAAATCCCTAAAAAGCAGTTCACCATATATTCAAATATCTCCATGCGAAATAACCCTAATTAATATCCTAAATAGTGTAAATTGGATCCCTAAGGGGGCCGGCCAGCCCATAGGAGATGGGAATGGCTTGAGCCGGTCCCTCTTAAGGTCGGTTCTATACTGGTTGCACTTGGGAGGGGCAGAAGTGGGATGCCCCAAGTCAATATCAGAATTAGTAGTTTGTTTGCCAATTTTGGGCACATTTTTTTTCTGCTTGAAATTTTTTGATTGTCATGTAGCAGTCCTATAGGTATTTGATCTTTTATATGGTACTGGAAGATGACTTTTTCTCCATTCTTTTGAATGCCACAGCACTTAATAAACTTAAAGTTGGCATTTAATATGATAATTTCATCTGATTTGTATTTGGTTTACATTGGCATTTCTCCATTCTTTTCAATATGTCAGGATGAAAGAGAGCTTAAGAGGCAGAAAAGAAAACAATCCAACAGGGAATCAGCACGACGATCGAGACTCCGTAAGCAGGTAATACTCTTGCGTTTTATTTAGGCTAGTATCCTTCAACTTTTGGATGCTTCAGTTGCATAGAGTAGATTTATCGCTGTGACTTATAAAATCTTAAGAGCTTTGTAATTTCTTATGAGCTGCAGGCTGAGTGTGAAGAACTGGCTCACCGGGTTGAAGTTTTAAAAGATGAAAATGCTTCTCTTAGAGCAGAGGTCAACAGGATCAAGAAGGAACATGACCAACTTATTTTGCAGAACGCATCTCTCAAGGTAGAAGTTTCTCTTATGTTGGTAGCCTAAGAGCTTTCGGGACATTATATGTTAGTATTAACCTTAGGTTTAACCCTGCAGGAGAGACTTGGGGAAATTCCCAAAGGAACCAAAGAACTAAGCAATGAAAATCCAGCGGAGGATTTCCTTGAGCAGAATCTGGATTCCGATGTTAAAGGAAGAGAAAAAGATGCAGGGCGGAATTAATGGCATCCTTCCCTGTTACAGAACGCTCGTTAGAAAAGAAACTTGTTTCCTGGATCAGAAACCTAACATAATTATAATTAGTGAACCTGCATTATAAGTGTGTTGTAAATGCAGATTATGATTTGATTAAACCTGAATGCTCTTAGTTAGCTGAAGTTTTGGTTCTGCCCTTTTCTGGGACTGGACCTGACTGATATTTTAACTGTCAGGTCCAAGCTTGGCATGAACCTACTTCCAAGTTCTATCTTTATCTTTATGCCCATTTGTCAGTTGATTTTTATCTTTTAATTATGTAGGTCATAAACTTTGATGTGATCAAGTACTCCCTTTTTTCTTAGGGGAGGATGTAATCTATATACTAATCTGACATTCTGTCAATGTTATGTGTTATAGAAATTTCATCTTTTCATGATGGGCTAAAAATTCAGGCTTTTTTTATTCATTTAAGGACTAATCTCATATTTTTTTTGTTATCTTTCATTGGTTTGCATCTGATGTTTGTAGTTCATCTATGCAAAAATACTGCGCAAAATGTTTAATTTGTTTTATTTTTGTAATCTGATATCCTTCGTTTGTTTAGATTTATACATGGTTGGACTTTGCAACCATTTATGGTTGCCAAAGTTCCCAATATTGTTGCGGAAAATGGTTTTTGGAAATATTGTAGCTTCTTGTATGAAGCTACTAAAACTTCTGTTTTGTTTGCAGATCCTATGGTGAATGTTTTGTAGCTTCTTAAAATGGTATGAATTTTAGAAGAGGAAACTTGGAGCTAAAGGAGAAGTTTTGCTGCAGTTGTATGGCACGGACAGTGAGCTTGAGCTGCTGTGAACTTTGTTGTGCCCAGCTCTGCATTTCTTGTTCAAATATTTATTTTTCATTTTTTACATTTGAAATTCTAGCATATTGCTTTTCCCGAACAAATCTTTTTATCAAATTTGTCTTGTTTTTGTAATCTGCTATCCTTCTTCAACCAGTAACAGAGGTTTCTACTACTGTCTGTGACCGTACGGCTTATTCTCATGGTGATCATGACCCTGTTGAGCGAGTTTTGTGGTATTGGTAACATTTGAAATTCTAGCATATTGATGTTGCTGACAAATTCTAGCATTTTGCACGAATTGGATTTGTGTTCAACTGTTGGAAGATATATAATTATTTTTTCATGTACAGAAGATTATCCTTTCAATGCACTGGCAGAATCGTTGATGCTGTGCATCGTCTTCATTTAAAGTTACATGTGTTTTTGGAGTAACTTAGCTGCAGGAAAGGATGAGATAGCCCATAAATACATTATATGTTTGGTCGAACACTCGATGAATTTTGAATTTTATAAACCATGCTTACAAGTGCTAAAATTTGATAGGACTACTACTTGATTGATGGCACTATGCATGAATTGATGATGTTAAATATTAGTGTTGCCCAGGTGAGATTATTTTGATGCTCTAAATTTTTGTCTAGAATCATCAGAGGTGGTAACCAAGAAGCTTGTCAGGGTGTTCGAGATGATTCAGTTGATGCAGGTGGGTTGGATTGGTGACGCATTGATTGATTTCTATCTTTATCTCTATGTTCAGAACACCACTAATCCCATGGCACCTAAACAAAGATCCAGATGTATAGATATTTATACTGGAATCCTAACACTTAAGCTGATATTTTGTTCTTTCACCATTCATTCTTCTATTATAATCTTGGTTGGTCGGAACCTTTATTTTAAAAGACAGTGGGGGCACTGGGCGAGGCCTGCGGCAATACGCCCTAGCCCAATGAGCCCAATGAGGGGGGTGTAGGCGTAGTCTCTCGCACACCATGAACATGGCGAGGCCTGCGGCAATACGCCCTAGCCCAATGAGGGGGGTGTAGGCGTAGTCTTTCGCACACCATGAACAGTTGGATTGTATTTTGTGCTGCACAAGAGGCGTAAGTGGCAAAAATTTTTCTGTGCGGATTTCTGGGATGTCTGACGTAGCTCTACGTGCGGCGAAGGTTATTCCTAAGTTATTTTCAGTTTATTTTTGGGTTATTTTCAATTACCCTGAAATAATTCAGAAATAACCCAAAAATAAAGACCGCGGGTTATTTCAGGGTTATTGAAAATAACCCAGAAATAACTTGAAAATAACCCAGGAATAACCTCCGCTGCACGTAGAGCTACGTCAGGAGTCCGAACAGAAAAAAATGCTCCATAAGTGAGGGTTTTTTTTGGTTGCCTCCATTGCTCTCGAAAGACTTTTATTTAAATAATTGAATATGACATTCAAATAATAATATATTATCTCAGAAGATAAAAAAACATTATTTTAGAATGAATTCAATCATTTGGATGAGAAAAGTCCTTGGAATTTATGGATTTGTGAAATGAGGATTCTTTCCTTTCCTTATTGATGTAAGATAAGGTTTATTTTAATTCATATGTCTCGTTTTTTATAAAGTCAAGTTCTCGTAGTTAATTACGTCCTTAGGGCTGTGAGCCCTAAATAAAACTCTCGATTAATGTGATAAGTCAAATTGCCAGAGATTGGGCTTTCATAGTTGAAGTGATTAGAAGTAGAGTTCAAATTGGAAGAATTAAGTTCCAGGGCGTGGGACTTAGAATTGAATATGTCATGGAAAACACTCAAAACGTAAGATGAAATTTAAGGAATATCAATCATAAGATTTGAGAGAGACTAATGATATGTTTGAACTAATCAATTGAAGTCAAAAGATAAATCAGGGACTGAATTAGACTGACATGAATAACTTGAAACCTTAAATTAAGGATATAGTCAGATAAGAAAGGATTTCTAGATGAAAAATGATACCTTAGACTCCATAAAGAAATATATAGGCAGATTAATCTAGATTTTAAAAATAATGTCTCCGGTCAAGATGCCCATGGCTTTACATCGTCCCGGGAACATTGGTATCTATCGATTATGACCAACCTCACAACCAAGAGTCGAGGATTGAGCTGAGGTATGATATGAGTCAGCTGACTTGAGTATGGATTGGGTATAGACCGACTTTCATTGGTTAGGATTGACTCAGACCAAGTTTAGGTTGGTTTGGGCTGACCCGTGTTAATCTGGATTTACTGGTTGATCCGGGTTAAGCTGGTTGGGTTAAGTTTGAATTGGGCTTAACTCGGGTTAAGCTAAACAGACATGGGTTGGCTTTGTATTGATTTGGTTTGTCTCAGGTAATCTTAAGTTTGAATTGGGTTTGACTCATGTTAAGTGATGCACTTAAAATATATAGTGTTTTTAGACACATTTTTATTTCTATTTTTGAGATATTGGGCTTTAATGGAAGGTATTTTTGTGTTTTTCTTGCAGATACAAATAAAAATGGAAAAATGCTTAAAAGAGTGAAAAAGGATCAAATTTGGAGCAAAAATGTGAAAAATTGTGCAAAAGAGTTTTGATGCCTAAGCGCCAGATCCGACGCTTAAGCGCCGGTTAAACAGAGAAGGCTCTGCCTAAGCTCTGAGAACCCGCGCTTAAGCGTCAGTGACAGTTACTAGATGAGTAAAATCGGTTTTCACGAATTTCGAAGAGGTTTTTGAGGCACCCATTGACTTAATAAGTGGTTGTAACCACCATAGACGAAAATTATCATGAAAGAATGTGTCTTTTGGGCAAATACATCGAATCAAGACACATTTTGAAGAGATCCCAAGGCACCTCTTGGAAAACTATAAAAAAAGAAGAGAGGACTTAAAAAAGAGTCCTGAAAATATTGGCAAGTTTTGAAAGTTCTTCTCTGAGGAGTTAGTT